GACCTCCTATTTGAAAAATAGAGCCGTATCGGTCACCTCTCCCCTCCACATCCCCCTCATTCTCGCCGATTTCTAGAAGGCCCAAAAACCATCCTTCGGCGAGAGGAAAGGAAGAACTGAAGGCATCGGGAGGCCACTCAGCTGGGCGATCTTTAGTTCCATCTGTTGATGAGGTCGTTGGCATCCACCACCAGGATCGGTACCGTTGCCGTCTTGATCAAGCGCACCATCTCGTTGGTGACCACCCTCAGTTCAACCACCCGTCGACGTTCAGCTCTGCTGGGCTGTTCTTGACACCGCTGCCGCCGTCGACGGTCCCGTGGAGGATGATCTGCAGCGAGTGGATGGCCTCCATCTTGTAGTCCTTCCACGGTGAGCTCCTCATCTTCACCGCCTCGAGGAAGGCCTTGAAGGAGGACCGAGGGTGCATCCTCTTCCCACCGCCGTTGCCGTCGTCGCCGTCCACCTGACTCTGCGCCACCCCACTGGATCTCTGTGGCAGCGTGAGACCTGAACCAGAAGAGGATGTCCCCAGAGTTGATCCTGGCGGAAGCCATTCCGCAGACAGCCTCCCCGAGCTACATCGCCCCTGGGTACCCCACGTCGCGTAGGCTATCCGTGCTCAGGCCGGTGAAGTCCGCGTGGTACTTGCAGAGCCACTCGGCGATGTCCCGCACCTGGGCCTCCGTCGGCGCCTGCCCGATCCTCCAGAACCTGCCACTGTGGAGGAGGACGGTGCTGTTGCACCTGACCAGATCCATGACGCTGGGGCTCCGGGAGACGATCCCGAGCGAGGCGTCTCGGAGCAGCCTGTCGCAGAGCAGCGCCTGTGTCCTCAGGATGCTCTTCTCTCTCACCTGCCTCTCCAGGACGAGCTCCTTGTTCACGACGTAGATGGCGACCACCTGGGGGATGCATGGTGGTAGACAATGTGTCCCCACAGCCAGCTTCTCCCCTAACTCTCCGCCTCACTCCTGCTGCCGCTGCCTCTGCCGCCATCCTCACCATGGGATGAGTCCCCGTCTCCTCAACGTGTACTGAATGCAATACGAGCCTCCTCTTATTGTGTAGAAATGAGGATGAAGCTCATTGAGACATGTTCCACCTCCATTGAATTCGTCTCAGTCTGGAGATTTGAACGCTGAACTTCGGCTTTGGTAGGTGACAGTCAATAGAGACACTTTATTGACCCACCTCATCAATTTCTAGACTTTGCAACATAACTTAAAGATTAATTATATCCAAAAAGAGCCTTTGATGCCATAGACATCATATGATAATTCTTCAAACAACCAAAAACTTCAACAATCACCACTATAACTCTATTTCCTATTTTAAACATGATTATTATTTGAATAAGTGAGATTTTATGTAATTTTAAAATTTGAAGTTATTCTTTAATCGCTTACATAATAATTGTCAAACAGAACTCTATTTTTGATCCAAACACGTTTGTCGAGCAGAACTCTATTTCTACCCAAATTTTTCTTTTTCATACATTTTTAAATAAATTTCATCTTCATTGTTTAGTTTAAAAATCATAAAAAATCATATTCTTTGAGAAAAAATCTGTAATTTTACCTGATATTAGCTTACATCTATGTGATCAATTGAAAATTCTTAATATTTTTACAGTCTTTTATAAAATTATAATTGATGTATTTTTAATGAAATACTTTAAAAAAATTAAAAAATAATGTTTTCTAGTTTATAAGTTTAAATTTACGTGATTTATTATACAATAGTTAAATCACATCATCTATTTTTTCTCTTAACTTTGTTACTTTATTTCGAATATCTAACAATCAACATTTATCTGTCATTTCTTGTGACAATAATTATGGATATTGTTATTAGTTTTCAATGTAGATCTCATTTGACTTTTATTTCTCAAAAAATGATTTTCTCTTATTGAGTCATCCTTTGACAACAAGACCCTCATATTATTATTCTTTTAAACCAGCATTAGTCATATATTTATCCATTAACTCTTTCAAAAGTAAAGAATATTTCACATCTTTAATGGAGAGAAAATCCTTATCATATAATGCAATTCTTGAAATTGTTTATATGTTGATGGTCACAAATAAAGAAAGAATAAAGCTTGATCTTCATCCTCAATTATATCTCATTATTTCCTAAATAAAATATAATATAATTAATTTCATCAAGATGAGATTTTTAGTGTACTTAATTTTTGAGGGAATTAGTTATACACAACGATTCCAATTTAAGTCATAGTCTTTTCATGAATGACCTGTCACAACACCTCATTTATTTAACTCAATTGAATCACAATTAATGCTTCATCTAAATCTTCCTTCTTTTACATAGATATGAGTAAACATTTTGTCTTTCTCAAGTAGTGCCTTCTATAACCCTTGATGAGTCAAGATAACTTTCATCTTGACTGGTCATATTTTAAATTGATCTTTGAGTCAAACTTTACAATATTACACTTTGGATACATCCTGTGCTCTCCAAAATACAATATTTAGACATCCAGCAATGCTCTGATATCAATTTATTGGGAAATAGGATGAATTTGATGGCCTTAATATAATAATGAAAGAATAGGCACGGGAGTAACAATCTAGGAAACAGTAGATATTCAAGAAGAAGTGAGAAGAATGGCACATGAATATAATTTTATAGAACATAGAGGCTGATACACCTTCTCCCGTCCACTAAAATGAGAGGAACATAGTTATTATGACTGAAGAAATAAGGTAAAAATAACAGAGGAGAATACAACTCACAGCCAGGGGCATAGAGGAGGTGACTCCAGATCCCCATTTTTTATCGCTGGAGAAGGAGGGTCTTCGTCTTTTTCTCGGGAGGAGGTGAACCAGTTACAGGGGCATAGAGGAGGTAACTTGGGCCCCTTTTTCAATTGTGTTCCATACAACGGGACAGGACTAGTTTCAGATACAAAATCTGTCCTCAAAATAAAACATAAGTGTCCAGGTGGACTTAGAACCCGCACATGCGCCGCGCCACGCCTGCCTGTGGTGCGTGGTGTGCTGGTGCCAGGGTCCAGGGTCCAGGGTCTGTCCCCAGCGTTTGCATCACCGTTAATCTCGTCGGTCAGTTCTTTCAGTCTTGATCCAATATTAGTGAGTGACGATCAAGGCAACGCTGATTTTCCCATCCTTATTTCTTTTGTATGTGCTTGCTGACATTTATCGCCCATTTCACAGCATTCTCTCTCCGGCCTTTCTTAGTCAACTGCACGTGCTCCGAGATCGTTGACTCGGCCACTCTAGTTGGAGCCGGGCCCGAGCCCAGGAAATGTAGTGCGTTCTTTCATGGCTTTCTCATCCTAGACCTGACGTGTTCTTCAGGTAGTTGTATATACTTTGTGGGTACCAATTACTCCCAGTCGACGCGCCTATCCCGGAACTTTGTCCGTAAGTTTAGAGAATGAACCCCCTGGTCCCCTCCATGATCGATACCTTCGGAAAGATGAGGGAACCCCAGCTCTTGACAATCTTTTTCTAATTCGCCGTTGAAGAATTCGCACCCTTTGATGATTGCATGCATGGTCGCACTCTTGAGTCAAATCGTACCGGCTTCGAGTCATATCTTGCGAGGGAATTCACCGAACTTTTCGTCATCTCTGACTATTTTCCAAGTAAGATGGTTCCTCAACTTCGACTTGGTCAGTCCTGATGCACGTCGGAGCTTGTTGTATTGGTTTAGTCCATTCGGCCTGCGCGAGCTGGAATGAGTTGTGACTGACGAGTTGCTTACCCTGCCTTCCTGTCTGACTGCTCAAACTCTTTATTGCTTGTTCACGCAATTTTTAAATGTGTTTATGCTCTCTCTTTCTCTCTCTCTTCAATGCTCTAAGAAGAGTTTGTGAATGCTTTGCCCCTGTAACTGGTTCAGATAGATGGGCGAAGTGGCTTGGGGTTCCTCCTCGAGGTAGGGACGGAGTTGATTACCTTGCCTTCCTGTATGACATGTCAAACTCTTTCTTGCCGGTCAACTAGCCCATTAAACATTAAATGTGTTTATGCACTCTCTCTCTCTTCTCAATATCTCGGGAGAGTTTGTGAACTATTTGCCCTGATAAGTGGTTCAGATAGAGTAGCGCAGGGGGTAGGGATTCCTCCTCGAGGTAGGGACGGAAGGGTGCAATACCGCAGGGCTTCCCACTGGATGCCGGCGGCGTTAGGTCAACTCCTCTGAATCTGATTGGCTTGCGACTCCGTAACCATTGAAGGAAGGATCCGGTGGTTGAGCCACCTACGGGACAGCTGGCCTGGTTTATGGAGAGAGAAGAGGGAGGGGCGGGGTGGGGGGCGCATTGGAGAGAGCCAGCGGGCCATGGATTGCCGCACATGGTCTTCAAGGCAATAAATTGTTAGCGGATTGATGAATTTGAGGTGCGACGACCGACGGTCGAAGTCTGGCGGCCGACTCAAGTCATGGCCATTTGGGGATTTTACATCTTTAGCAGTCCGTATTTCAATCTCAACTCCGGCCCTCGGAAAAGTCACCCGTTGATCTGTGATGTTGTGGTCATCCATACTTGAGGGGGAAGTCATCCAATAATTTCCCTTTTTTTCTAGACATGACCGCAAACTAAAGGCTTTGTATAAAAATAAGTCAACGCAGCATACCTTTTCCAAAGTCCGTCACCGGGGTTCAATAGGGTTCGACCCATAACATAAGACCTTAGTTTCCTATCCCCCTCGCTCTCTCTCTCTCTCTCTCTCTCTCTCTCTCTCACTCTCGCTCGCTCCATCTATCTCTTAATCTATATATCTATCTATCTATCTATCTGTCTATCTAGGAGAGAGAAAAGGATCTGGAGGGCTCTCTTCCTTACAAGTACGTGAAAACTGTTGTACAGTTCAAATAAATGAGTGTAATTTCGGGCGAGCCATCACCCAGACGGCGGCGGTAGGATCTCAGAGATGGATCCCTTAGAGACCAGGGAGACGCCCTCCGTCTTCCCACCTTTCGTTCTCTCCGTTCTCCCCCCCTCCTCCTCAGACGATTGTGCAGCCTGGCGCGTATTCCATAAAGATGAGGGCATCCCCTCTGCAGCGCTCGCAGCAGGGTTCCAGATCTTCCGGCTTGGGTTTCGACTCCTCTTTCTTGTGCGACTCGACGCTGTCAATCAGCGCCGGCCGCCGGACCTTCCTGAGCTGGTGAGCGACGCAAACCGGGTCGACCTCCCCGACCACCGTTACCGTGCCCTTCTCGACGTCGAGCTTTATCTCGTCAATCCCTGCCATCATCGCCGCCACAATCTTGTTTAAAATATCAACCCTCGAATGATTGGGCGTGGGGAGGGAGGGTCAAAGGTTGGGGAAAGGGAGGGCCCTCACCTTCGAGCTTGGCAATGGCCTTGAGGATGGCCGTCTTGCACTTGCCGCAGTATATGGAGATCTTGAAGACCATCTTCTGAGCTTGCGCGATCCCCGACAACGGAGGACCAGGGGAACCAACCACAAGGTTTTCCCAGGTCAGCCGACACACGCGAGTGAGTTTCCTTGAATTGACGGCAAAAGGGCAAATAACACTGCTTTGGAATGGTGCGCTCGGCTTACCTTCATGGCTGCCTCCCGCCGTAATTTACACCACGCAGAGAAGATGAGGACAGTCGCGCAGAACAAGCTATCTCTGCCTTTTGCTCTGGCTCTTGAGGCTTGTGCAGAACAGGCGATCTTTCTCTCTCTGTCTCTCTCGCTCTTGAGTTGGAGCAAGGTTCTTCCTCCTGACTCTCTCTCCATGGGTTATATAGAACCTGGAGGGAGGACAGACCCTCATGTCATCTAGGGAGTCCATGTTCCGGAGGGGACCTGAGGAGAGGTCGAAATCAGTGCTTGATTGAATAATTGTAATCTTCCCTTACGGTTGGTGTGTTTTCGTATCGTTACCTGCTCCCACCGAACTACGACTATGTCCTCGTCGCCGATCCTGACGTGTCTACTTCCAGTTGTTAAGGTCCCGGTGGAACCATAATCAATCGTCGGTTCAAAGCAAAACGAAGGCAGGATCCGTTCGACGCGCCCCGTCAATTTCAGCGCTGTTACCTGTGTCCCGGCAACGACGTTGAAAATTCCATGCACGAGAACTACGCGTTAAGAATTGTCAACGAGGATACAAGGCCGGATCATCATCTGCCCACATCGGAGAGAGAGATTGTATGAAATTATCTTAGAGAAAAGAATATTGAGCTGTATACCGAAGCACGTGCTACCACCATCCAATATGCCATTTTTCGCCTACGAACCCGGCTAACGTTCAATGACGTCTATCTCGGTGAGAAAACAGGGGTATAGCTCCTACAAAGTCAAAGACCCACCCGCGTAGAGTTCCATCCCGCGGGAGTGTGGAAACCTGTGTTATGTCAACGACGGCGGTCCCAAACCCATCTCTCTCTCTCTTTCTCTCTCTCATATACTCCCCTTCCTCACCGACGCAGGTCAAAGAACCGAGTTCTTTCGTTTGTTCTCCTCTCCTCCCCGCCAACGCGTCCCCACCAGTGCGGCTTCCCCCACCACCACTACTACTACTACTCTTACACTGTCAATGTCATCATCTCTACCACTTGCTTAACAGTCCATCGATAAAATAAGTGATGGCGATGGGGAATCTCTACCAGGCCTGCTAACGCTCGTTGACCGAGAAAATTACATAGGTTCCGATGAGAGCTGTACGGATAAATTTGCGGAGAACGCGTTGCCCTGGCGATGTCCAGAACTGTTCAGCGTTCTCTGCTGAGGTCGGCCTCGGCGAACAACAGGCCACGAAGTCCCTGACAAAAGGACCGAAGACGTAAGGGTTTGCTTAACCTGATGGATCCCCGCTCGGGGGACGCTCAGCTCCCTTCAAGTCAACGCGAGTTGTCGACGAGTACTTTGTGACGTCGACTCGACGTCGACATAAAAGGACGGCGAGAGGGACGAAGATTTGACGAACTCCCTTCAGCCGGATTGAACATAGCAAAGGTGGGCTCCACCCAACGGTTCATTGGCGAAAAGTTTCCTTTCTAGAGCCATCATAGCTCGCTGCCTCTCTCTCTCGGCAAGGAGCGGCCTCCTCGTCACATCTGTAGCAAAGTTTTTCAAGAAAAAAGGAGAAAAAAAACACATACACCCCCCACTACCCCTTTCCCTTGAGATGGATGAAGATGCTCTCATATGAGGGAATCATAATTAAAAGGAGGAAAGAAAATGTCATGAGCAGCAAAACTTGAGAAGAGGATGGCTTGGACGAGTTGTGACCAACTCATGTTGTGGAGGTTGAAGTAACATCTTGAATCATCAAAAAATGTGTTTTAATGATTGTCACTTCACTCTAAATTTACAGATTGAAGATGACAAATCCCTTGAGTCCACAAGGGGTTGATACTAAATCCATGAGATTATCAAGAATTGGGTTCCCTTAGTCTATAGGGGTGCTGGAGTCCACTAGCAGAAGACACACATAAAGTTGTATTAATAAAAAAATAGTATACCTTTGAGGCTACATGGGGTGCCTTTAAATAGGCTGAAGAGTCTTGATTTGGCACCAAGATTTGAATTTTTTAAATGAAATTTAAATTTGAAATCAAATTTTGAATGAAATTTAAATTTCAAAAATAAAATCTAAAATAAGAAATGAAATTTAAATTTCAAACAAAAAATAGATTTTAGATGAAATTTGAATTTCAAATGAAAATGAAATTTCGTATGAAGTTTGAATTTAAAATGAAAATTTCAATTTCAAATGAAAATTTGAATTTTAGATGAAATTTGAATATCAAACGAAAATTTGAATTTTGGATGAAATTTAAAAACTAATAAAAATAGAGATATGGGCCTAATTTCGTAATTGGGCTAGCTGCAACTAAAGTGAACTTCATGCTGCAATAGTAATAGACTTCTAGGTGCATCAATAGTGGGCTTCAAGCTTCTTCAATAGTAGGCTCAGGCTTTGAATTGCATTGAACTTTCTTTCTTGAAAATGACTCATCTTGGAGTCTTTAACTCGCTCTCGATAATACTCATAGATATTTGTATCATTGAATGTAGATGAGATTCTCATTGTCTTTGGTAAGTCAATGACATATGCATTGTGATTAATCTTTTGAATGATTTTAAATAAGATCATACTTTTGTGAACTATGTTTGTGATAATTTACTATTATCAATCATTATTTTCTTAAGTATATCATAACTAAATCACTAACTTTAAAAAAAATTCTTATTATTTTTCTATCTATCTTTTCCTTGTAGTTTGAATAATTAGTTGTAGGATGATTATTCACATTCTCATGTATTGTTTTGATGTATTATGTCATATTATTTAACCAAATTATTATTAGGTTTTGTAGGTACTTCAATCAAGTCAAGAGGGACTTTTGGTGGAAAACAATAGACAATAGAAAATAAAGAGTAATTTGTAAACTGATTTATCATAGAATTATATGCAAGTTCTACTTGAGCTGAAACAAGATTATATTGTCTTAGTCTGTCTCCTAAAATATAACGGCTTAAATTACCAAGTGTCGTATTAATCACTTCTCTTCGATCATTAGTTTGTGGATGACTCATAGTACCAAAGTTTAGGCATGAGTCAAATATGTTCGAAACAATACATTAGAAATGAGACAGAAGTTTTGAGTCTCTATCAAATGTAATAATCTCAAGCACCCTATGCAAATAAAATATTTTCTTAAAAAATAAATTTGTTATTTGAACGACATCATTAATCTTCTTAAAAAATATTTTTTTATTTCCTTAGGTCAATGAATTTTGAATAAAATTTGAATTTTGAATGAAATTAAAATTCGGATGAAATTTAAAAAACAATAAAAATAGAGATTGGGCCTAATTTCGCAATTAGCCAACTGCAATTAAAGTGGATTTCAAGCTGCAACATTAATAGGCTTCTAGGTGCATCAATAGTAGGCTTCAGGCTTCTTCAGTAGTGGGCTTATTTTATCCAGCCTAGAAATGTAGTTTTTAAGATCAACCTCATCTCCCAAGTTCATCTTCGCAATGCACACCTGAACATGGCAGCAAGAAACATCACATTTTAAGGGACAATTAAGCCCCCTGCCCTCCAACAAATACGAGGACGAACTGGTAAGTCAGAATGAATAAATGCCCATCTCTCTCCCTCTCTATGCTGCCGCTGCCCCACCACCAACCATCGTTCTCGATTGCTTACCTGAAAGATGAGCCACTTCTGTTCGATGTGGAAAGTTTTCAGTTGACTCTACCAGGACGTAGAAGAGCTGGGTCCAGCGTATCAGCTCAATTGGTTGCCATGACCACCTTCACGTTCATGATCTGTTCAAAAGCATCCATCTGAGAAAAACGAGAGAGCTTCACGTCGCCAATCAGTCCAAAATATCACGTTTGAATTACCCAAAAGTGTATTAAAGGCATTAAGCCCAATCAAAGAATGTGTACGTGAGTCTCCGCTGAGTTATAACGGCTGGATTAGGAGATAAGTGGGAACGTGGGTTCCACAGATCGTAACTGTCTCTAGCGAACGTTACTCTCTCTCTCTCTCCTATAAATATGCTTCATGTGTTTGCCGAAACTTGGAGAGAATTTCTGTTGTGTTCTTGAAAATCCTAGTCTCGATTCTTCTTCTTCTCTCAAACGATCCTCGGGCAAGTTTTTGCTCTCAACATATGCGGCACCAACAAGACGAAATTAGAAATATGATCCACCAGCGTGTTGGATCGCCTGTGAAGAGCCACCCGCGCCGTCTTCAGGAGTTCCCTATTGACGGTGCTCAGGATCCACACGTACGGTTTGATCGCCTGGATGACCACACGATGGCGTTGTTTTGGTCGATCATCTCCAGGAAATTGCCAACAACGAGCGTTCACCGCAGCTTACTGCCTCAGGTTCTTCTGCTCGTTCTTGATGCACTCCTCCCACATCTCGACGAACTCCAGCTGGTGCCGCAGCACCTTGAGGTGCCCGTAGAGATCCTCCTCGGCAAGGGGGGAGGTGAAGCCCAGCCGGGGCTCACCAGACTGCTCGGACGCGGCCGATATCTCCGAACTACTGACGGACGGGACAAAGACGAAGACGAAGACGAAGACGACGACGACTGGCTTCTTTCTTTCTGGCCCCCAGGAGAGAAGAAGGCGCCACTTTTTCAAATCGCGGGCTGGGCCCACCGTCTCGCTAACGGGCTGGCCCAGTTTCATTTCGGCGTCAAAATTGGCCCAATCCCACGGAAGAAGCCAGTTCCAGAAGAGCACGACGAATCGTCGAGGGACGCAATCTCGTTGAGCCATAACCTAGTCAACTCATCGGTCAACTCCAAATCGTTCTGCGTGGAGGGAGAGAGAGGGATCGATCATCATCATCTTATTACATAGAACATATATGATCGGCAACGGTGGCGAGGTCAGGGGTTCACTGCTGGAGGGCGGCGCATCCGAGGACGGCGCCGCGAGAGCGGAAGAGCGGCCGGACGTCCCGCCACTGGAGGGGGGCGGCGGCGGGGTCGCAGTAGCGGGTGCAGGCGAACTTGACGATGTCGAAGACGCGGGCGTCCATGTCGTAGCGGATGGCCTTGCCGCCGACGAGATAGAGCTTCCCCCGGAGCCCGGCGAACCCGCAGCCGGAGGGCTGGAGCTTGCGGCGGTGGTCCGGCAGGTCGAACAGCGGTGGGCCATCGAGGACCGACCAGGCGCCGCCCGAGCCCTCGAGCGCGGCGAGGCCCCGCTCGAGGATGGCGTACAGGCGGCCGTCCAGCGCCGCCGCGGCGTTGCGGGGCAGCCTGTGGAGCTGCCAGGCCGCCGGCGCCGGCGCCCAACTGCCCCATGCGGGGTCAAAGATGAAATGTCGCGGCTCGCTGGCGCTCCGCCCGACGACGTGGAACCTGCCGTCGTGGGAGACGCTGAAGCAGCTCCGTAGCGGGGTCGGCATTGGCGGCAGGTCCTCCCACCTGTCCTCGAGGACATCGTAGGACTCGGCGGAGGCGAGCCCCTGGGAGCCCGGCGAGTCGCACCCGCCGGCGACGAGGACCCGCCCGCGCACGGCGGAGCAGGCGAAGTCGCACCGCGGGGTCCTCATCCCCGCGACCTCGCTCCACCGATTCCTGTACGGGTCGAAGCTCATCACCTCGCGCGTCGCCGCCGGGCGCCGGTAGGAGGAGCAGCCGCCGCCGCCGCCGTGCTCCTCCAGCGGGGGCCTCACGGGGTACCCGCCCAGCACCAGAAACCGCTCTCGCAGGGCGACGCAGGCGAACCCGCAGTGGGTGCTCCGGGGGTCGGTTCCCGGCGCCGGCGGCAGCGCGTGCCACCGGTCCGCGCCGGGGTCGTAGGCGCTCCAGCGCATGCCGGGCTTCTCGTCCGTCAGAACGAACAGCCAGTCGCCGCAGAGGCCCTCCCTGGCCTTGAGCCGCGAGTACTCCTCGCTCCTCAGCGCGTCCCTCCACCTCCTCGAGACGCATTCGAGGACCCCATGGTGCCCGTGGGATAGGGTGGCTAAGCACATCAGGGCGAGCTCGTCCGGCAGCCCGGGGATCAGACCTTCGCAGACGAGTTCTCTGCAGGGGAGGGAAGGAGGGAAGACAAACTCCAATTCAGAGGGGAGATACGCAAGGAATACTAAGGTAGTTTTTTCTGTTATTTGCTCAGCTGCTGAGAAATGCAACAGTCAGAATCATCTGATTGTTAGAGACCTCCACTCGCAGCAACAAGTGATACGACATTACACAACTTAGTGAAGACGTTTACAGAGAAGCAGACAAGTTGGGATATAATTACTGTCCGACCTAAGGTCGTCAGGAAAGTGAAGATCACAAGCGCTAAGTAAGCGAAGAATGACAGAAACGAAACGAAACGAAACAAAACGAAACGAAATTTGGTGGTGTCACATAATAAGAACGCTTTCTTGTGGGTCGGGTATTCATATTTTTTAAATGTTT